CACTCAAGCTGGTTTCTCCAAAATTACCTACCCCACCTTTAAGGTCTTACGTATTTGGCAGGTAACAATTGTGTAGTATTAGACAATAGACAAATCAAGTGGATTAACAGAAATCAATATCTGCATGTGTTAACAAAGACAAACAGGTAAATGAGCATCTGATGTCTGAAAAAAAATGCAAATTGAATGATTCAAAGGGAGTAACAGACTAACATGAGGCTGTAGCTGCAAGCAACATACAGAAACAAATTGAAAAAAGCTAGAGACTCTATCAACACTATTTAACCTTAATTCACCATCTACCAGTGGCGAGCCGTCAGGGCCCTCTAGGCCCTCTGTGAGGGCCTAAGATATTCTAAAAACTAATATTTGAAAACATTTTTTCTTAAAAACGTTTTTTTTAAATATTTTTTGGAATATTTTTTTGTTGTTACATTTTTTATTAGTTTTACCAAAATAACTTGATTTAATTGTATTTAAAATAATATTTCTAAAGAAATAAATCCTTCGAATCTGCCTGTTCAGTTTCTGTTGAAATGTGAATGGTTAAATGCCGTCTCTGCGAGTTATGTGAAGACGGGAGAGCTTGTTGGTCCCTCTCTACATTCACAGAGGGCCATCTATAGTAACTCAGCGAGAGAGTAATGTCAAATGACAGTACAATTGACCAATCATATCTTCCCTCTAAATGGGCGGGCTTTATTTTCGCGGACTTTATGACAAGTTCCGCCCGCTGTGAGGTCTATGCAAGTGGTGCGGTGACGCGTCCTAAAACCCGGAAGTAAGCTTCGCTCGGATTCCCTCGACAGAAAGCAACGGGATTTCTCCAGAGGATTTTGGAAAATAGCTCGAAATAAGGTCTGTGGAAAACGAACCTGTTAGATAAATTCACGTTTTGTTCAGCCGGATAATATCCACATGTCTACCCTACTTTTATTATTTTCGATAGATCGATAGATTTATGATCGATAGATTTATAATTAGCATAAGTTCGTTCATGATGGCTCACTTCAGTGATAGTGAGGACATCGTTGCGAAATTATTAACCGAGTCATTTTCAAGATTGAATTACAATGATAAACTGGAGTGGCAAAGGATCAGCTCAGCTGAATGCCCCGCAAGTGCTTCATCCAAAAGGACAGGAGGATGGACTTTGTGTCTAAGTCATTTTCAATGTGGGCCGCCGTGCCGATTTAATTCATTTGTAATTGTTACTTGTCTGTGGGTGCCCTGTCATGATAGGTGTTTATATAAATGGTGTTGTTTTGTGTGGTAGAGGGTCGCTGTCATTGATGCGTTTTGCACCCCGGGCCGCTGTTTTGATATTCCGCTGAAGTATACGCTGTGACGTAATATCTCTTCTTTTTTTTCTCGAGGGAGGGGGGGTCAGAGGGCCTAGGTATAAAAGTCACGGCTCGCCACTGCCATCTACTGTAGCTTCATTCCACAATGACATTAATACTTAATGTTTTTCACACAGGGGAAAGTCAAACAAGTAGTTTTCATTTGTAATCATGACCAAAAACATGACAATTAAAATAAAGAGATGAAAAAAAAACAGAATACAATTAATTTCAAAAGACAACCCATAAAGGATTAAAACATACGATACCTCTGACAGTAAAAAATACAAAGGCGGCCACATATTTAAGTATATGGGATGAACTATCAAACTCCGGCCATTATTGGTAGGAATAAAAATGTATGGTATACACACAAAACCAATGATCAACAACAAATACAAATAAATCAATAATAGCTTGTTGTCATGGTTCCACAGCTCTATGTTTTGGTCTTTAACACATGCCCTCCAAAACATTATTACATTATTCTCACTCATTCTTCTGTAAAGAAAACAGACTTTAACATCATAACTCAAAGTTGTTTTTTAAATGGAGTGATACAATTCACTGGTTCTTACTGCAATGTGCTGTTATATAGGTACATGTTAACAAAGAAAGACTGCCCTCCTTAGAGACTCGCTTGATTGCTTATTTTGTACAGACAGCACCGGTGCTAAAACAATAATGGACTGTAACAATGGCTTGGAGCTGCTAAAGAGAATGCAGATGAACATTTACTTTTATACTTTCAAATCAGAACCTAATTTCACATTCCTATTTTCACAGGACTCTATTTTGCCAGCTTGTTCACAACATGAATCCTGCTTTATGATTAGACCACTGTGTATAACAACCACAATAGTATAATAGCTTTGCTTCAATGCATTCATTATTTTCTTCTGCCCCTCATACCTACCCAATCTACAATTAAATAGCAAAAGTTGTCAATGTCACACTACATATAATTAAGTTAAATATGAAATGAATAGAATCAGAGTCAATCTGATTAAACTGAGCTTAATCTGGCAAATCAAAGTGGCCAAGTATCAATGTTAACATGTTCAAGTTATTTGTTAATTTATAAGCGCAGCAGTTGTTTTCAAACTGCAAGAGTCAATTTAAACACCAAATCACACACATCAGAAAAAGGCTGCAGCACTGCTCATTTTTCAAGCATGTTACATCTCAACCAATATCAGCATCTGGCCAACTGCTATCAAAATATCAGATTTTAAATGAGTCACTGGGGATTTTGACCAGAAGTATAAATTGCTTGAAACATCTATTGAGGTGCAATTTACAGGGCTACAGTACTCTTTCTAATTGGTTTTGATTTACTCCTGTATAAAATAACCACCAGCCATCTTGGTGGACTGAGGGGTCGGGGGGGGGGGGGGGGGGGGGGGGGGTCAGAGGGCCTAGGTATAAAAGTCACGGCTCGCCACTGCCCAGAACTTCTCCTCATTTACTTGCAAATAACCTAGATGGAAGACTGATTGTGGTTTATAGTGAAACTAAGAGCCCTGCCAGTAAAATTACAGGTTGTCAGCGTAAATATGACTTACACAATAAATGTGAGTTTTGCCTTTCATTTATTTTGTTCACACTCACCTTCACATGTATCTCCAGGTCTTGCAGTTGTCTGAAGACCTGCAAATCATAGTATTCTTTTTTTTAGTAATGGCACAGAGGCATTCAAATACCAATAAATAGTACCATCTGTGACACAGCCCGGTAAGGTCACCATACACAAGTAAGTCAAAATCCTAAAGAATAGCAGAATTATAAGACACATCCAGACCCAAACGCAGAATCAACAGGAGGTAAGTATAAAGTATAAACAAAAAGCTAACTTTTAATCAAATGAAGATGATAAAAAAACGGGACCAGAACAAGCATGGCAGAACCAAACAAAAAGTAAAGAAAAACTAAACTAGTAGAGACCTGAGGGCATGTGAAAAATTAACGGTAATACAGGCTTGACCTCGGGAAACAGGTAGGAGGTGACAAACCGACAAAGAACACACAAGACTAATCATAAAGACCATACACAGCTGTTGAGGGAAGGCAAAAAACAAAGGCACCAGGTGAACAAAATCAGGTAATCAAAAAGGAAGGAAAACAGAGACAGGAAGGAAAAACTGAAGTTACCTACTGTAACCCCAGCTTCTATGAGTATAGGCGTAGCCCTCTAAGGCTATCGCTATTGGGTAATCCTCTGCGCACCCGCGCAGCACTGAAACACTTGTAGTCCACGTCCACCTGTGAGGTGGGCCCCACCCTCGGGCTCACTTCCGGTATAAATAGGAAGGAGGCCCGACAATCTGCTCCCTCACAAACAGCTTTTCTTCAGCTATTCGTGGAGCCAGTGGGGCCCAGCACTTAGAGTGCTACGCCTGCTCATCCATCTGTCCATCAGACACATGCGCTGCCACTCTGAGAAATACTCTGAGAGCGGACATACATGCTCGTGATGTGCTGTGGTCGTCATGTGACGAGCCACACCAGAGCCCTCGCCGCCGCTGCCCGTGAGGCAACCCAAGGTGGGCCTGGACCGAAAGGGCTGTGAGGGAGCCTCCACATGCTGCGTTTCACTCCGGCTCTCATCATGCATCATACACGCTCAGGGGATGAGTGGAGGTGTGTGCAGTGCTATCCACATGAGGCGTTATAACGGCACTCGTGGGCTCATTATGACCGTATGTAGGAGGTATATCTCGGACAGAGGAATGCCGCGAGCTCTGCAGTTTATTGACCGATAGTTTAAAAACAGCAGGCTTTGCGGGCTCTGCTGCTGTGGCAGTTTTCATGGACTCTATCATGGCGTGGAACTGGGGTCCGAACAGCCCGTCCGGGCTGATTGGAGCATCCAGCAGCACTTTCCTCTATCTCCTCCGAAGCCTCGGAGGGCATGGAGGGCTGTTCTGATAGTCTCACTATGGAGTGAGACAGCAGAGTGATGTCGTGCTGCAGACGTCTGGAAGGCACACTGCTGCATCCGGTCAGTCTGGCGGACGACAACCTGGTCCCCGGGGGAGGAAAGCAAGGGACGCCGTGTGGCGACCGTGCTGGCCTGCTTCACCCAGAACAATGCCGTCAGGTTCGGCTCCAGGGGAGGCGCGATCGGAAAACCAACATCCGTCGCTGCTCCCTCCTGGCACTTCTGGGTGGCCGGGAAGCGCGGCCAGACCGGGTCACTCCCGGCGGTCTGTACCCAGGAGAAACACGGAGTAGGACTCCTGGACTGGCCAATCATCCTCCTCGGCCGCAGTAGCGAGAGCGTCCGCTCTTCGCTGTCTGTCGGCCAGAGGGAGACGGGCACAATGACAATGAGCACATGACACCTGCTGGGCGAGAGCTGCGTGTGCGTGCTCCGACCCCAGGCAGGATTCGTCTGGCATGAGGAGCAAACTCTAACACAACCTTGTGTACTCATGTTTAAGGATCTTTTTCGAGGTGGCTCTTAAAGAGCCTTTACTCTTTAGTGTTTCTACAGTGCTTCAGTACCGGGGTGCTGAAGAAAAGAGGGAGGGAGCAGATTGTCGGGCCTCCTTCCTATTTATACCGGAAGTGAGCCCGAGGGTGGGGCCCACCTCACAGGTGGGCATGGACTACAAGTGTTTCAGTGCTGCGCGGGTGCACAGGTGATTACCCAATAGCGATAGCCTTAGAGGGCGAAGCCTATACGAAATAGAACAGACATGACACAGGTCAAATAAAAAAGTTAAACACACAAACTAAGCTCATGACAAAGTATTAATAAGGTTTTTACCTGATGTATAAAACTCTCTTTGTCACCCTTGGATGCTTCACAAACCCTGTTGACGTTGCCCTTCAAGTATTGCCTTGTACATCTTCCAAATCTCCCCCCCTTTTTTAGGTCACATCAATTGTTTTTCTCTGCCCTTCACCTCACCAGTATATATATTTTCCAGTTGTGGCAATGTCTAGACTTATCTGATTCCATTCGAAGCTTCTCTTCTTATTATTGAAAAAAGAACATACCACAGCCTTGATTGTCGCTATACACACATGAATGATTCAACTTCAAGATAGAGCCTTTCATATCCTAGACCCAGACATAAACAGTGGACGGTGACTGGCAGGTAGAGGATAGATCTGTTCAAATTATTCCTGCAGTTCACACTTCTGGTTGAATTTAAAAATATAACAATGATTATGACACATTTATTGCAAAAAAGATCCAAAGGTAAAATACTTAGAAGTGGAAATAGGAAAATCCTTTGTGGCAGACGCAAAACAAAAGTTAGAACATCAAGAGCACACTTCCTTTACATGAAATAAAAACAGGTGATTTAAAACAATCCTTATTAAGGGGTGGTTGGAGGCAGACCCACGTCACTATTTGTTATTGTATTACATTTATTCTGATTTTAAACATTTTTTTTTCGAGAAGTTGAAAAACATTTGCAATTGAAGCACTCTTAATATTGCCCTTAATTTACAAAAGGCAACACAAAATATACAGACACTTTCTTTAAATTCATTGTTGATCTGCACGTTCATTTGGGTCTTTCCTAGTGTGTGACAGATCCATCCCAGGGGAGGATCCAGGCAGGCATACCCTGCAGCCAATGAACATGAGGAATGCCCTACGGAAGGAACGGTTGAAGAAACCATATAGGAAGGGATTTAAAGAGGAGTTGATATATCCTAGCCACAAAAATATATCCCAGACAACCACCTCTGTGCTGTATTCAATAAAAGGGTCCACAATGTTGACTGTAAAGAATGGCATCCAGAAGATTAGGAAAACTCCCATGATGATACCCAAAGTTTTTGCTGCCTTTCTTTCCCTCTTCATAGTGTTTCTGTGTCTTTTTTTCTTGCTTGAATCCTTTCCGACTCCAGAAGCCATTTGGCTTTCCATGGCGCTGATTTGCCTTGCCTGCCGCTTGGCAGCTTTGAAGATCTTCCAATAAGCGATCAGCATGATAGCCATTGGCAAGTAAAAGGCTACCAAGGAAGCCATGACAGCATAAATGCGATTGACCAGGAACACGCATAAATCTTCAGGGATCAGGATGTCCACACCTGCCACATGAAGATCTAGCATTATTGGGCAAAAGGAGATGAGCATGGGAACAGCCCAACATACAAAAATAAGGAGAGCTACCCGACTGTGGGACATTTTTAAAGAGTAAACTAGCGGGTTGCAGACAGCGTAGTAGCGGTCATATGCAATGCAGCTGAGATGGAATATAGAGGCAGTGCAGAGCATGACATCAAGGCTAGAGTGAAGCTGACAAAAAAGGACACCAAAGTACCAGCATCCCTCCACCGTCCGAATCATACTATAAGGCATCACTACCAGGCCAACAAGGCAGTCAGCCACTGCAAGGGACATGACGAAGGAGTTTGTGGGGGACTGCAACTGCTTGAAGTAGGCAATGGACAAGACCACCAGAAAGTTTCCCACCACTGTGCACATGATGCCAACAGAGAGGAAGGCATACAGAAAAATGCGAGAAGCCTGGTTCCTAAATGTAGTACAGGATTGAAGTTCAATCTGAAGAGACGTGTTAGCCTTTTCGAACATTTCCAAGCTGCCGTTATCCATGGTCTAATCAAGCCTGTCAAAACACATGGATACAGTTGTGAGAAATTACTGTTTCAGTCTGATTTTGCAGATTAAGTGAGGCATTTCATCACAGTTTGCCTACACTGTTGTATGGTACATTAACAGCGAAAGATTTGACGAACCACCCAGAATTGTGTTTATTATGACCCAATTGCTGCTCCATGGTTACTTCTCATTAGTTAATCTCTAAGTACATTTTAGTTCGATGAAGGAATCACTAAAGTCTGTGGGCTTAAAAATACATTGTTTTAGTGGAGTTGCCTTATCTAAAATGCCATCTCTATGCTTTGTTTAGAAAAAAAAGACAGATGTTATTTTCATCCCAGATGTTGATATAATGAGGAGAACGATATGTATTTCCCTTTTCGCCTGTGTCTACATAACCAATAAATGCTCTGACAGAGGGAAGTTATTGATTAGCTTAACGTGCATGGAATTATCCACATTAGCTATCAGGTCTGTTGAATTGGAACTACATTCACACTTTCTCAAAGAGAACTATGAAACCTGCATGTGTTATATTTATACAAGTTTCATTTCTACAGAGCCCTGAAGGGTTCAAAGAGAGAAAAATAAATAAAACGAGGCCACGTTTTATGAATTTTTGCGCACGATGGTAAAACACATCGAACTGCCCGATTATTACGCCATATCATTAGTTTTATGAAGAATATGTCCGGTCGCCGTGTGTGTGTGTGTGTGTGTGTGTGTGTGTGTGTGTGTGTGTGTGTGTGTGTGTGTGTGTGTGTGTGTGTGTGTGTGTGTGTGTGTGTGTGTGTGTGTGTGTGTGTGTGTGTGTGTGTGTGTGTGTGTGTGTGTGTGTGTGTGTGTGTGTGTGTGTGTGTGTGTGTGTGTGTGGTGTGTGTGTGTGTGTGTGTGTGTGTGTGTGTGTGTGTGTGTGTGTGTGTGTGTGTGTGTGTGTGTGTGTGTGTGTGTGTGTGTGTGTGTGTGTGTGTGTGTGTGTGTGTGTGTGTGTGTGTGTGTGTCGTTCGGGTGCACTCCGGCAGGACTATAGCACTACATCGAGATTAAGATTAACCACATTTATTTCACTTGGGAATACACATATAACTATGGAGAACCAGATGTGTGTAAATTACTGTTCATGGTAATTTGAAAACTAATGCCGGTCTCTACAAACACACCGAACACACACACAGACACACAGAGTGGAGCTGAGCACAAACACACACACACACACATCATGCGCCCTTGTGACCGGACATCTCCTTCATAAAACGAGTAATAGGGGGAATAATCGGACAGTTCGATGTGTGTAGTCGAGGTGTGTGTGGTTAAACGTAGCAGCCTCGATCTCTATTCAGCTGTTCTAATGAAGGGAAACGCAGTGAAGTAAGCACAGTATCTGCTGCCCACAGCTGTTTTATAGAAGGAAAACCTCCTTCACTTTATGAAATCTCTGCAGCACCAGTGGCCTGTACTACAAAGCAGGATTTGCTATTTACTATTCATTCATGAAATATGACGCTGCGCTGTCAGCACGCTTCTCCATGTTTGTGGTTGGTCAAATGTGTGGCCTCGTTTAATTTAAATTGAGGCCACGAATTACATCTCGTGCGCACAAGTTAATAAAGTGTGGCCTCGTTTTATTTATTTTTCTCTCTATGAACCCTCCAGGGCTCCGTAGTATCGTATGCACAAGATACTTTTTTTTCCCTCCATGAACCTTTAGGGCTCCGTACATTTCAGCTCATACCAGCAAATAAGTTTAACTCCTCTGGCAATTAAGTTTTACTCATCTGGATTCATGCATTGCTCATTACAGATTATCACACAGCAGAAGAAATATGACTGTAATGAGCAGAATTAAGAATAATAATAATAATAATAGATTTATTTCGTTAGCGCTTTTTCAGGTGCTCAAAGACATTTTACAGATATAGTGAAAATAAAAGAACACCAAATAAATATATATAGTTAAAGTTAAAGTCAAATAATACAAAAACAATCACACATTAAAAGCCAGATTGAAGAGGTGAGTTTTTGTGAGTTTTGAGAGAATTGCGTGTAATTCTCAGTGCGAGCAAAGTGAGCAGGGAGCAGATGTTCAAGCTAACTTGTAATATATTGTAATGAACACCACAGGGACTGTGATAGGAAAATGATGCTGAATGAACATTTTGATTTTAGTTTGGCGTGTACTATGTATACAAATTTGTAAACAAATAAATATGAAATGATACCCATATCTAGGTTCAGGTTTGTAAATCTTACTTTTAGTACAACTTTACTCTATATCTTGTCACAAAGGCTGTTGGTGGGTAAAAAGTGCCAAAAACTCTGCAAATCCCCCCTCAGTGAGGCGAAGGGCACTTCGGCAATCATTTTCACAGCCCCCACACGCCATTTTCCCTTTGTCCTTCTTATAATTTTACCTAATTGAGAAACATCACGTCTGCAAGAATCATAATTTTATAAGTCTGTTTTCTTTTTGTGTTATGCCTCTGCTATCATCCAGCAAATCCTGAACTTAATGTCAATTTACATTGAGAGTAGACATTTACATTTTGCAATCAAGCTTATAAAAAACATTACATTCAGTGTGATGATGTTGCCCATATTGCTAGGTGATTATTATAAATACCCTGATACATGTTGTACAGAGTTAACAGCCATTTAACAGTTTGGTTATGATTAAAATGCATTCTTGATGACTACATCTCAGTTTTATTTGTGAATATATAATATTAGAATGATGTTTTTATACAGATTAGGATCTATTATAAGATATTCAAAGAAAGAAGTTGCAAAATATGTCTAATTTAATCATAACCCTGGAAAAGCCACATATTAAATATCACACATAAACAGGATTCTTCATCTTTCCATCTGATTCTATGAAGAGCAGCACAGTGACTACAGATTAGCTTATAGATGTAAGCATTTCAAACAAGGTCTTGGATTGTGGTTTAATAACAAAAACCGGCATTACTAGAACATTTTAAACAATGACACTCACCTGTAAAAAGAAGAGATGATTGTCTGTCTTCATGTCTGAATCGTACTGCACCTTTTACAAAGAGACCAGGGGGATGGGAGGGCTGGGAAGTGGGCGCATGCAACAATAGTCACAGTAACAAAACAACAGTCTCCTGCCATCTCCCCTGCCAATTCAAACTACTGACAAATATTGTGACATGTTGAGTAAGGACGGACCATTAACCGTATCATTTTGAAATGTGCAGATTTGTACAGCAGTGCGTGAAAATCCTGTCTAAAAAAGATAGGATATTTTATTTAATAGCAAACAAATGTAAGAACAGAACCCTAAAGACTATTGATCAATAATTAAATTCTATATATGTCTACTCTATGCCATTTTTTGTTTGTTTTTATGCATTTTACTGGTATCTGTGTTCTGTGTGATTTTCTGTGAAATGTCTATGTAAAGTACTATGGACTGCACTTGTTATATGAAAGGTGCTATACAAATAAAGATTATCATTATTATTATTATTATTATTATTATTATTATTATTATTATTATCAGTCTGAGTTCACACAATGTACTATTCTAAAACATACCATTTATTTTAAGCAGTGCAAACCCTAGATGTTTTTCTTATTTGTGGAATCACTTATTTTTTTTGTTCTAGGGAAGGCATTGTCATTAAGTCCACCATTTTGATCCAGACTGAAGATACATCTTTTTTGGCATACTGTACATGCATGGTCCCCAGAGGGAGTGATCTCTTGTAGTGCCACCAAAAAACTACACGTTTTGTTTTTTAGCGAAAATTGCCTACAACTGTAGAATGGAATGGAATGATATTTGATTCAGGCAGTGTATGTCCCTTTTAGGAGTAATTCATATAAACTTGAACTGGCACACTCACACATACACAGAAACAACCTCTGCTATTTATAAAGAATGACCCTTGCTCAGAGCTCACTATGATTTCAAGCGTAATTCTCCCTTTTCTTTGCACCCAGGACATATATGAAGTTTAGCCAGAAACCCCTTCTCTGCTTTTCCAGAACTCCATTACAACCGGATAAACTGAATACATACACAGAGGAATTCACAAAGGGTGGGCGAATGACTGAAATGTAAAATAACAAACAAAAATAACACACAAATGTTGATTATTGTTTGTTTTCGCCTAATACTTGACAAAATAACATTTTTAATTAATCGGAGAAGGAAAACAAATAAAGAAAAAGGGAAACAAAAATGAATTGTAAATACATATGATTGAAAAGCATGGATACTTGTCTTCCCATAAATGAGTTTTGAATGACTGCGTCTTCACTTTCCTATTAACCCTTAAACAGCTCTCGTCATTCCTTTCATGTGTTTCAGTGTGCAGTAGAGCACAGCCAATCCTACCAAGCTTGAATACCTTGGGCCTCAGCCAGTGACAGACGTATCTCAAGTGTGGAGGACATGTTTTAATTAAACATTGGGGGATTTTAATGAAGGGTGCAATAAAAGGCCCATTGGCAGGATAGTAAGGGTTTTTTCAGACCAGTCATTCATATGTGTAATGCAAGTGGGTCTAACAAACAAAGTAGACTGGCTGCACAGCTGTTCTTTTGTTTCTGAAAGAGTGGTTGATTTCTGTGCTTTGTTGCATTTATTAGGAGGAAAATAAAGTGACCTCTTTAGTATGATTACACATTTCATTAAAGTGTAATATTGATTCATGGTACAACCACTACATCATGATTTAAATTTGTAATATATTATTCTGGACTTGAAAATGCAACAGTGTCTCCTTGATGTGTATATTCATTTTCAAATTTGGTTTAATGGATATGCAATAGCAATCAAACGTTTTTAATTATCATCATACACCGGGACACATTTTAACAAACACATCTGTAAAGTGTTGAGTTAAGTAAAGTTGTTATTTTAATGTCACCTATTGATTGATTGATTGAACATTTTATTAACAGATTGCAGAATGGGTACAGTACAGTACAGCTCAATACACACAATTGTTAAGGGGATGCAGACCAGAAAAAGACTTTCGTCTTGTTTACATCAGGGTCCCCCATTTAAATTCATCATAACATACATGACATACAGGTAGATTACATTTTCACAGATTACATTTTCATTTTAGCTATGACCATGCTATGCCTTTTAGGAATGGGCCCATTGCTAAAAAACGTAGCTTTTTGAGTCCTGAGTAATACATCTGCCATGACATAGAGGTGTAATACATGTACAGGTTATTTAAAAAAACACCAATATGCAAATGCATATGCATACAATTCTTCATTCAAGAGCATGACAAAAATGGGAATGTTCTTTTTTTCTTATTGGACTTCACTTGTTACTGTTATTTTTCTTTTAAATGGTTTGCTCTGGCTAATTATTTAAATTGAAAATGACGTCAAGTCATGTTCATCATGACCAGAGGTGATGTGAGGGCTTTGTGACCTTGACGAACAGATGTTAATGATTCTTGGTGAAATGCAGCCCTCTTCTGGTGTGCCATTCCTACTGCATGTACATTTCTTTGAACTTAACAAAGCATTATTAAAATAATGTATGCACTGCACCCAACATGGAGTCTTTTAATCGGATTAATAAAACCCCACGTCACACAATCAGCCACAAAAGCACTAGGACCTAGAAGAAAATTAGGATGGACACTAGACTTGTTCCTGCCTCATAGGTTTGCCTAATATTCATCTCTCGCAAACGTCTAAAAGGGAAATAATTTAAAACTCTGTCGCTATGGCATGTGATATATCAGTGTACACGCGGACCAATATTGATTATATGGTACGTTATTGGTTATGGATGATACATTAATAGTTAACATCTTCCTCCATTCAAACTACTTTGATGAATGAAGATACCATTGGGAAAAAAAGATCATATTCTTGCTTAAAAGTGATATACCAGTTCAGAATTCACGACACAATCATAACTCTAAGTACAGTCTGGTATAAGCTCTTTACCCAAAAAGTGTGTTGTTACTACTTCACCAGACAACCAGGTGTTCAAGTAACAAATTGGTAAATGTGAGAAGCGCTAAGATGTTTTTTAAAACCCTTTCAGACTCTATGCGACATTTGGTTAATTTCCTGCCAAATAATTTGGGCGACATAGTCATTGCTTACACACAAGAGACACTTTGGATTAGAGACAAAATACTCTTGTTTAGAAGATATTTAAAAAAAAGAAAAAAAAAAGTAAAGTAACTCCCAAGGTAATATTTAAATACTTTATTGATTAACAAAGATACACATACGTATTATTCCCCTTCTCAAAGTCATACAGGACAAATGTTGTTAATCAATTCAATGACAATTATTTGTATTGCAATGACATTCTGTGGAAACTAAAATGTTTTCACAAACGACATGGTTTGGGTAAGGGAAAGACTAGCATGGTCTAACATGTCCTACACTGGTAGTTTGCCTCAGAAGTCATATGAATCATTATTTTTCCGCATCAAGATCATTTTACAAAAACACAAGCTTTTGGCACCACGCTACATCACCTGCACACTTCTTCCATCACTCACACTTAACAATGGCATTTAATGTAATTTGTGTCCTGCTTGATCTTTATATGCTTTTTATTATAAATAAATATGTATTACATTATCTTCTATACAGTTTAACATTTGGGAACAAATGACATATGACTAATAGCATAAAAATAAGCATTTACAAAACAAATACATTGAATGGAAGCTGTTATAAAAAGCCAAAATAGAATAAAATATGGTATTTTTGATTACTTATCTCAATGACAAGTTATTTTTAAAGAAAATAAAAAATAAATTGAATTGATCACAATTGATTGTAACATCAAATGTATAAAATACTGAACAAAATAAATCGTTTGCACACAGAGTACACATCATTTTACCATTTAACATTGTATTGGTAAATTTCATTTTGCACGCATGTTATGTCTTGCTCTCAGTTTGGTGGTACATTGCTTTGTTCCCACTTGATAGCATAGAAAAAGCTCTTAGCCAAGTGTATCTGCCTTTGATGTTTGGTATTAGTTTGTCATCGTCAGGGCCACAGCCAGCAGGGTTAGTGAAAACACGACCAGTGAGCCCATTGTGGGCCGAGGGGGACTGCTTGACGTGGATGTTGATTCTGAAATATTAGAAAAAGCAAAGTTTGTGGTCAGTGTTATTATCTGGACTAAAACTGAATTCTAAGGCAGGAAATAAAGGCTATGCTACATCCAAATCTTGAGCCCTGTTATATCTTTAATATACACCAGAAAATCCCAAATATGACATTGTGACATGTGTTTTATTATTTAATATAAATAAATAATTACACCTTAAATTCATAGTTTGACGTTATAGTTTACAACCACTTACGTGCAGAAACGCTGCCTTGTACAACATTCAGGGATGAAGAGCTAAGCGCAGTGCTGAATTTTGAAGTTGCATCGCTTGCTGTAGGAGTTGAGGTTTTATTTGTGAACACAAGGGTCATGTCAACTTTCACTGATCCTTGCCTAGAGTGACAAAGAGAGAAAGCGACACTTAGTGACAGGGAGTAGAAAGGGCAAATGTCTAACATAAAAGTCAGGGACTGAAATTAAGTCTTACGTGAATTTGTTAATAATGCTGCGAAGGAAAGATGATCCATAGAGTTTTTGAGCCGCTTTTTTTACCTGAAAGAAAACATTACTGTCAATTGCAATGCAAAATAAAAACTATGGTCACAAGCATCTATAAGCAGCTTACCAATATTAGTACACACTATGATCTGCGTTTAACTGTACTTAAGGGGAAGTGGCAAACTCGGAGAAAAACACCTTTCAATATAATACAGGATTACTGTAAGGACTATACAAGTGAATATAGTCCTTAAACATGGCTGGTGTACATTAAAATACAGCATTAGCTATCTGTTTAAAATATCCTGAAGGGTTTAACTACGGAATAAACTTAATTGACAGTTTTGAACATTTCTGTTTGCCTTCTTATGACTGGGTTATGTCATTAATGTGGTCTATATCCATTAATGTTAACAGGTTCATTTAAAATAGTAGGGATCATTTGATAATTTTTACAATAGAAAACATTTAAAGTGTTTTCCAGTATTCTTATGTTTATTGTTGAAAGAAAATCTAACTTTGTTTGCAATACACTATCAAAGTGCTAAGGGATCTTACCTCACTGATCACTGTTACAGCCAAAGTCTTGTACGCAGTTGATGATGAGTCTGAGAGGTCTGATGTAAATGTTTGGTTGAGACTGAACTGAAGGCCAAGAGTTCCCTCACTGGATGTAGGAGGATCAGTAGAAGCTGTTGTTGTGGCAGTAGTAGGAGCTGCAGTGGGAGCTTTAGTAGGAGCTGCAGTTGGTGCTGCAGTTGGAGCTGCAGTGGGAGCTGCAGTTGGAGCTGCAGTTGGAGCTGCAGTAGGAGCTGCAGTTGGTGCTGCAGTTGGAGCTGCAGTGGGAGCTGCAGTTGGAGCTGCAGTTGGAGCTGCAGTTGGAGCTGCAGTTGGTGCTGCAGTTGGAGCTGCAGTTGGTGCTGCAGTTGGTACTGCAGTTGGCCCTGCAGTTGGTGCTGCAGTGGGTGCTGCAGTGGGTGCTGCAGTGGGAGCTGCAGTTGGAGCTGCAGTTGGTGCTGCAGTTGGAGCTGCAGTTGGAGCTGCAGTTGGTGCTGCAGTTGGTGCTGCAGTTGGTACTGCAGTTGGCCCTGCAGTTGGTGCTGCAGTGGGTGCTGCAGTGGGTGCTGCAGTGGGAGCTGCAGTTGGAGCTGCAGTTGGTGCTGCAGTTGGAGCTGCAGTTGGAGCTGCAGTTGGTGCTGCAGTTGGAGCTGCAGTTGGTGCTGCAGTTGGAGCTGCAGTAGGAGCTGCAGTTGGTGCTGCAGTTGGAGCTGCAGTTGGAGCTGCAGTTGGAGCTGCAGTTGGTGCTGCAGTAGGAGCTGCAGTTGGTGCTGCAGTTGGAGCTGCAGTTGGAGCTGCAGTAGGGGCAGCTGTAGCAGTAGGTGTGGCGGTGGAAGCAGTAGAAGAAGCTGTACCAATACAAATGGGTTATCAATTAATCTGACACTTCAAAATGCATATCATTTCAATGGATTTATGACCAGAGTAATAACGTTTGATAAGTTCCAATTACTTACTTATAGAAACACTGCCTGATATAACGCTCAGGGAGGTAGAGTTGCTTGTTAATGCACTGCTGAGCTGTGAAGTATCTGTGCTTGATGAAGGAACTGAGCTTGTATTTTTAAATGCAATGGTTGTGTCTGCAACCACCGAGCCACTCCTACAATGAAAACACAGAGAGAGCAAAACCTTTTTTAAAAGCAAGTGACTTGAAAATGTCCAGAAAAAACAAGTAACTTAATAAAATAAATTCTTACTTGAATGAGTTAACAACGGAGCGAACGAAAGATGATCCATACAGAGTTGTACACACGTTGTTGAGCTGAAAGAAGACATTAAAGTCATTAACATTGTAATGCCTTACAACAAATGCACAAAACGTTTTGCTCTGTTGAGTTTTTAAGCTTTTTATCCTAAATAATCCTTTGTATACACTAGTGCTGGGGGGAAACGATTATTTTGAAAACGATTAATCGGGCGATTATTTGATCGATTAGTCGACTAATCGAACGATTATTTTTCTGTTGTTCAATTCATAAAAAACGTAATGTAAAAAAAACGTAATGTAACATTTTTTTTTTCACAATACTGTGTCTCAGGGGTTCTTAATATTTAAGAACCTATTAATGTGTTATACCAGATTAACGGAAATAATCTCAGCTAACTGACGATACAAACCATGTTTACCAACACAAAACAAAACACAAGTCTCATAAGAAGCAAACTAAAATGCTATCTAAATGACCCCTGAGCGAAAAATGCTAACGGACATTGGCACAGAACTCAAGATAAAAGTACCCTTATTACTTATCGTAGCTGCACATACAATATATCCGATTAAAGATGAGACTCCACAGATTATGTAGGTACATAGTATCATCACTGAGTGATCCGGACTCGCGACAGGGGAAGCAAATACAGTCATCACAACACGTACCTTCACAGAGCTTCTAGGGAGATCGTCTCACCGCCGTAGCTGTCAATCTGATCAAAAATACGTGTTCAATGGCATTCAAATGAGAAAAAACGCGGCTGAATCGGTTAATCCATAGGTTTTTAACGTCTATGTATAAACAAATTATTTAATTTATAATCCATAATTCCATTTTTATGTAAAAATCGGAGAGCAAATGCTAGCTGCTAATGGTTGCCACCACAGCTAGCTGCTGCTTCCGGTCAAGCAGCAGTCTCAGTGAGATATAAATATATAAATATCTTTGCGTTTTGGACTAACTTTAAAATATTCCCATGCTTTTGAAGACCTAGGGCGAGATGTTTTCGTTTGAGGGCTTCGTGCGCAATCCTGTGAGGAGGAGGTGGTAGCCGTTTCAGTCTCCATTGTGTTAGAAGTGCGATTGCGAACTGCTTGTTGCTTTGGGTGACCCACGTGTGTGTGGCGACCATATATACAGTCTATGGTGGCGACGCGTCGACGCGGACATATGTCGTCGACGATATTTGCTACAGCACTAGTATACACTATATGTTTACAAGATAAAGACAAAATACCAGGCTCTACAATCAAAATATTGGAACAAATAAGGATGGAAAATTGTTTTTATTTAAGGTTAAAAATGTAAGGGTCTTTTTTGTTTTTAAGTGCTACAGTATATAAGTGTTATGTATTATTATTATTATTATTATTATTATTATTATTATTATTATTATTATTATTAAGATTCCACAATTGAAATCATGTGGATATTTAGAAGGAGTAATATCTGATCACTGGAGGACTTTTAACAACATGACTTCACTATATACGTATATATATTTGCAAAAAGTAAATTAGGCATAATTGTTAGCTGATTGAATTAAATATATTTGTTAAATTAATACATGTTGAACCTTTATTTTATCTTACCTCTTTGACCACTTCTGCAGCCAAGGTCTGGTATGCTGTTGAGGATGAGTTTGAGAGATCTGCTGTATATGTTTGGTCAATACTAAATGTTAGTGCAAGGGTTCCCTCATTGGATGTGGTAGAAATTATTGATGCGGTTGTGGTTAAAGGAACTCGTGCTGCAGTTGGTGCTGCAGTGGGAACTGCAGTTGGTGCTGCAGTGGGTGCTGCAGTGGGTGCTGCAGTGGGAGCTGCAGTTGGTGCTGCAGTTGGAGCTGCAGTTGGTGCTGCAGTGGGTGCTGCAGTGGGAGCTGCAGTTGGAGCTGCAGTTGGTGCTGCAGTGGGTGCTGCAGTGGGAGCTGCAGTCGGAGCTGCAGTGGGAGCTGCAGTGGGAGCTGCAGTTGGAGCTGCAGTTGGTGCTGCAGTGGGTGCTGCAGTGGGAGCTGCAGTGGGAGCTGCAGTGGGAGCTGCAGTGGGAGCTGCAGTTGGTGCTGCAGTTGGAGCTGCAGTTGGTGCTGCAGTTGGAGCTGCAGTTGGTGCTGCAGTTGGTGCTGCAGTTGGAGCTGCAGTGGGAGCTGCAGTTGGTGCTGCAGTGGGTGCTGCAGTTGGTGCTGCAGTTGGAGCTGCAGTTGGAGCTGCAGTTGGTGCTGCAGTTGGTGCTGCAGTTGGTGCTGCAGTTGGAGCTGCAGTTGGTGCTGCAGTTGGTGCTGCAGTTGGTGCTGCAGTTGGAGCTGCAGTTGGTGCTGCAGTTGGTGCTGCAGTTGGTGCTGCAGTTGGAGCTGCAGTTGGTGCTGCAGTTGGTGCTGCAGTTGGTGCTGCAGTTGGAGCTGCAGTTGGTGCTGCAGTTGGTGCTGCAGTTGGTGCTGCAGTGGGAGCTGCAGTCGGAGCTGCAGTGGGAGCTGCAGTGGGAGCTGCAGTTGGAGCTGCAGTGGGTGCTGCAGTGGGTGCTGCAGTGGGAGCTGCAGTGGGAGCTGCAGTTGGTGCTGCAGTTGGAGCTGCAGTTGGTGCTGCAGTTGGAGCTGCAGTTGGTGCTGCAGTTGGTGCTGCAGTTGGAGCTGCAGTGGGAGCTGCAGTTGGTGCTGCAGTGGGTGCTGCAGTTGGTGCTGCAGTTGGAGCTGCAGTTGGAGCTGCAGTTGGAGCTGCAGTTGGTGCTGCAGTTGGTGCTGCAGTTGGAGCTGCAGTTGGAGCTGCAGTTGGTGCTGCAGTTGGAGCTGCAGTTGGAGCTGCAGTTGGTGCTGCAGTTGGTGCTGCAGTTGGTGCTGCAGTGGGTGCTGCAGTGGGTGCTGCAGTTGGTGCTGCAGTTGGAGCTGCAGTTGGTGCTGCAGTGGGTGCTGCAGTGGGTGCTGTAGTTGGAGCTGCAGTTGGTGCTGCAGTGGGTGCTGCAGTGGGTGCTGTAGTTGGTGCTGCAGTTGGAGCTGCAGTGGGTGCTGCAGTGGGTGCTGCAGTGGGAGCTGCAGTTGGAGCTGCAGTTGGTGCTGCAGTGGGTGCTGCAGTTGGTGCTGCAGTAGGTGCTGCAGTTGGTGCTGCAGTTGGAGCTGCAGTTGGTGCTGCAGTGGGTGCTGCAGTGGGAGCTGCAGTTCGAGCTGCAGTAGGTGCTGTAGTTGGTGCTGCAGTGGGAGCTGCAGTTGGAGCTGCAGTTGGAGCTTCAGTAGGAGCTGCAGTTGGTGCTGCAGTGGGAGCTGCAGTTGGAGCTGCAGTTGGTGCTGCAGTTGGAGCTGCAGTTGGTGCTGCAGTGGGAGCTGCAGTTGGTGCTGCAGTTGGAGCTGCAGTTGGTGCTGCAGTGGGAGCTGCAGTTGGAGCTGCAGTAGGAGCTGCAGTTGGTGCTGCAGTTGGAGCTGCAGTAGGGGCAGCTGTAGCAGTAGGTGTGGCGGTGGAAGCATTAGAAGAAGCTGTACCAATACAAATGGGTTATCAATTAATCTGACACTTCAAAATGCATATCATTTCAATGGATTTATGACCAGAGTAATAAAGTTTGATCATTTCCAATTACTTACTTATAGAAACAAGGATACCTGCCAGCACATATTGTGTTCTCATTCATTGCTGTTGTCTTAAAAGAATGTACAGAAGTATCATAATGTTACCTGTTGTTGCACTAGTGGTTGAGGCCGACGTTGTTCTCACCTCTCCTGTAAAGAAAATGTCACAATGATCCAACTTAATTCAGTCCGATTCAAAATAATATTACATTTAAATTAAATTGTCCCTTAATCTTCCCCCACTTCCCTCCCCTCTTTCTCTCTTTCTCACACACACAAACACACATACATTCAAATAAATACCTGCACATAAGAGAAATAATATAAAAAGAATCATCTTCTCTTTTTCCCGTTCCTGTGAAATAAAAGAAAAAATATATATATATTTTAATATGCAAAATGTGTCCTTCTAATTTACACTGTTAATTGTCAAAACAGCTCCACAGTTAATCCTACCATCACATGTTTCATGCTTAAAGACGGGTTATTCAACTGAATGACCAGTTTGAGGTTATAGTTTAAGGTATTTGTAATATGTTGTTGCTCCCATTTATATCTATTGGGATGCAACATTTAAGAAACACCACTATATTTAACTAAATGCAATTCAACAGAAACGTAAAAGTATATCCTTAAAAATCACTTTCATTAAGAGCTTATTAATGATTTGTATGAAAATGTTTGTAAAACATCTATAAAAATAGATGGAAAATACACCAATTATTAACAATTTACACATTTCTAGCTATCTATCTTGATAATGGTTCTTTACAAGTAATTTATTAGCCATTTTCGGGTCAATTATGTTACAAATTGTTACAAATTTGATCCATCTGTCTAAGTTATTATTTTAGATGTTTAATACAAATGTTGTTCTCAAGGTTTACAAATCCTTTGGGAATAATAATTCACAGATATTTAATCTTGTACATAAGTAATTAGTACAGAAATTACCAAAGTGCTTTTGACTATGGTTTTCTACCCTTGTCCTCTGTGTCCCAATGCATTGATTATAAACTCTACCACACAATTTAGCAGATGCTTGAATGACTGAACATTGTGAGTGTTAGACAAGCAGAATCTGGTGTGCCAACATTGTTGAGTGACGCGTTTCAGTAACTTTCTTGTATTTCACATTGTCAGATGGTGTAGCACCTGCCAGGCTATTCAAGTTTCTGTAATGGTGTATGTAGGTGTATGCTCTGCCAACAAGACTACTGAATAATTTAAAAAAACATGTATTTTATCAAATAGTTAAATGATCTTATCCAAATTTGATTGTGATCTGGACTCTGATTCTTACACCAAAGGGCTTTAACATTTTATTAAAATCTTATATTGAACATTCATATTTAACAGAAAAACAATTGTATCAACATTTCAGCCCAGGATTCATTAGTGTCTGTGATAAACCTTATTTATTCGAATATCAGAATACATACTTTATTATGTTGTCCAATTAGGAACCATTTGGTTATTTTCCATCATAAATAGTGATTTATATTTGTTAAATAAAAGCAACAACGGTTAAATTAATTGAAATTCCTACTCAACAAACGTGTTTATAGCACGGCCCAACCCTGACAAGCCAAGCATTGCAATCCATTATGTTAATTATATTGTTCAATTATTATTTAACCTTTCCAGCCTTCAGAATAACATGCATTACACGTATTAATGCTTTGTTTGTCAGGATTTTTTTTGTTATTAAAAATAATGAAAATGAAAGGTGTTTCTTAGCAAATACCTAAATAGTAAGAGTCAATAGAAATGTGCAATTTAAAAGCAGTACACATATTAAAGGAAAAGTGTAGATTGTGAATTAAAGTTAGAAATCACTTGATGCATTTCCGAGCCCAAATGGAAGTTATTCATTCAAAACAGTTTAATTCTAATTCAAAAAAACTTGTACAGAAAAACCACCAATTAAAATGTTTTACCTAGGCATTTATTATGAACTCATCATTATACCAAATTGCATACTATGTGGTTTAGCGACAGCCTATTTTAAAATAAAGTGTTAACAGATATTGGTCATGGTTAATTTCTTTAAAGGTTGAAATGTATAAAACATGAAGGTGAATATTCTTACCTCGTTGGAGTTCCAAGTCCAATTGTGCAGCAATATTGTTAAATTTGCAGCAGTTCAATCAATGGTAGAAACTGACACAAAGAAGGCACAACACACCCTGAAGATGTGAAGATGGAAGTGAACACTTGTCAGTGAGTCAGAGCTTTTTGAGAGAGACCAGACATTCTTCTTTTTAAACCCTTAACTTGCAGGACTTGTTCTGCTTTGTTGTTTAAAATAATGAAGTTGGTCCTGAGGCACAATGTAAACGTTAGAGGGGGCGCAGGGTTGGTGGAAGTAGAGATGAGAGATGTAAATACCAATGCTGTCAGTGTAAAGGAAGAATATTTGCTATTTTTAACAACTGGTGCCAAAACACTACTCATTAACTCTTGCAAAGCGCAGAGCTGCAACATTGATTTGTCGGGAATTACAGCAACATCATTGTATACAACAAAACAAGCTCTTTATAAACCTTCATCACTTATCTGCATAATGACCATGCATTAACATTGCAGCGAACCGTCTCAATCAAAAAAGAATGTCTCAGTTTGAAAGATGGCTTTACTGCTTTGAAGTGATGCTTGTTGGCTGCTATTTTCATGTTATTTCCTTGTTTTCTCTAACTGAATTCAAAAGTCAGCACAGTCCTTGTTTAGACTGTGCACTAGGTAAAACCACAAATTAACCCTTTACCTACTCCCTTTGCTCTTTATTACCGGAATCAAACATGTATGTCACTGTAATTCATATAGTGTGCTTTTTTATGTAAGTGGTAAAGTATAATTATCCAACTAATTCTGTGATTACTATATTTGAAAAGAGCTACCAATCCATTTGACATATACAATACTTAACTTGACACAAAAGACCTACATAAACAAAACTAATTTTAGGCACAGCTTCTTTGACAAATGCTACTGCAAACATGTGACGTGGTATCACCACACTGTCATACCTGCCATGACGTAAAAGATGACCAAAGGACAACAACATATGAAACAGGGTTAACAGCAATTTACACTTGTAACCTTTATTATGTTGTATTTCAAGTCCTTGTCAATGTTATTTGAAGAGATGCATTCTTTCATCACGTGACAAAAGAGATCCGCTCAACTAACTTCATGCTAAAGATAGTCTGAGATAATCTGTTAAAACAATCTCACGTTTTTCGAAGCACACTTATTGACTTATATCAGGGAATTTACAAGTATAACTAATGGCAACAATGATGGTTTGATTAAATTAACTAGAAGCCTCTGGTTTGTGGTATCCGACTCAGAATCAGTCAACAAAAACACTAAGTTAATAATGTTAGTGCTGCACCTATGTCTATTGAGGAAATGTACAGTATAGGATCCGATTCTCTTTTGTCATGCATCCTCGACAAAGTATTTCCTAGAGCACAGCTTAATTTATACTCACATATTTACAGAGTTGTGCACTGTGCAGGCATTTTAAAACATTAATGGATCACATTTGTAAACTACTGCATGCTAAATGCTTGACCTTGGCAATAGCTGTCACAAAATAATCCAAACTCAAGGGCCTACCCTTGTGCCCTCCTCGGGCATTTTTGTACATTTTTTACCTGACTTTTTATTTTTATTTGGTGATCATTTCAGCTGTGTTACAGCTTTTGGCATGGATTTTTGCAAGAAGTCTTCTTTTGAGTCAAATTCTTGAAATCCATTGTCGTTTACTCTTACATGTTTTGTATACTCTCGTGATGCATTTTGCACCCTCTGGACCCCTTCGTGGCAAAAATGTACACGCTCATAATAACTGCTATTAAATCATACATCAATATTTTTTAAAACTTTTTTTTCCATGAATCACTTAAACAACTTCTAACGTGCTCAAAACTACCAAACATTTAATAATGTTCAGGATTTTAACCCTTTAAATGCCTGTTTCATTATTTGAATTATTTAATTTTCTTAAAAGAAAACACAAAAAATGAATTTTTTTCAATATAATAATTAGTAGAGGGACGGAACTTTGGTGGTTATTAGAGTCTTGGATGAGTCAAAGATTAGCAGCAAAATGTATTTCACTGCATTATTATTTTTTACGTAGTGTCATATACACGCCCCAAACAACTGCTATTAAATCATCATACGTCAATATCTTTTTCTACTTTTTTTTCATGAATCACTTAAACAACTTCTAACATACTCAAAACTACCAAACATTCAATCATTGTCAGAAATGTAACCCTTTAAACGCCTGTTTCATTATTTTAATTATTTCATTTATCTAAAAAATGCCTCATTGACTTCCATTCAGACCACATTTTTTGATCTCACTGCCATTGCAGTATAAAACCATGCATTTTGTAATGTCAGCATTTCATTTAGAAGAAAAGTAGTGATATTTGATATTTCTACTCTATTCCACCAGATTACACCATTTTCCCGCTGTAGGCCGATGCATGAAATTCTTACATTTTTGCCAGTTATATTATGGAGCCGTGTGACTACCAGGGGGCCTCGAGAGTGGTGTGTGTGTGTATATGTGTGTGTGTATATATGTGTGCGTGTGTGTGTGTTTGTGTCTGTGTGTGTGTGTCATTTCCAGTAGCAGACCA